GCAGTCTCAGTCTAAAGTGCTTCTTCTTTCTTTCAGTTTACCTTCAACTTTGGAAAAATGTCCTATCAACAGCAGCAACAATGCAAAGTCCCCTGCCAGCCTCCTCCCCAGGTCCCAGAGCCCTGTCCTCCCAAGGTCCCAGAGCCCTGTCCTCCCAAAGTCCCTGAGCCTTGTCCTCCACCCTGCAGCCAGCAGAAGTGCCCCCCTGTCCAGTGCCCTCCATGCCAGCAGGACTATCCACCAAAGTGGAAGTAGCCTCAGGGGCCAGCCCTCTCTCACCTGGACATGCAGACACTGCCCACTGCCCACCTCCTCCAGCTTATTTCCAGACACTACAAGGATCACCCTAGAAGAAGCTTCCAGTTCAGAACCAAGAAGAAAGTCAACTGGCTTTTGCTCCCCAAATCCATGCCTCCTTCCACCTCCTCTTCCAGGAGGCTGCAGGGTTTAGACAGGAGGGTCACCTTCTCAGACCTTTGACCCGTGGTTCAAATATGCCATTATGTTCAGCTGCGACCTCCTCCACCACCCAGCCTCCTGCTGATCATGTGGATCACTGTAAGAACTCAGAACTTGCTCCTCTCTCTACCTCCTCGGGATGCAACAACTTCATCAAGGTTTCCTGGAGCAAGCACGACTTAAAAAGGAACACAAGAAACTGTTTAAATCAATGGGAAAAATGCCTAGAGCCTTACACCCCAGCTCCACGCCCTGTGGTGACGTCAATGACGTCTTCTGGTTCTGTTTCCTACTAATAATCTCCAAAACCCTGACGCAGCTCACCCCTTTCTTTGAACTCTGAACTTGGAATATTCTGAGACCTATAAAGTTTCTTCTTCTCTGATTCCCAAATTAAAAATAAAATAAAATCCATGGTTGACCTTGTGCCTGTTCTCTTGCTGGGGATGGTGGATATCACAGAGGGACAAAGGGCCAGTGGAGGGCAGCAGAGACTGAGTGGGAAACCCTTGGTAAGACCTGGGAACTCAGGGGCCATGAGAGTGACTGGGCGCCCGGGTCAAGCTAAGCGTCTGCTTCTCCTCTGCCCGTCCATCTCAGTCCCTCATGTTTCCTGCCCCCAGGCCCCTCTCCATGAACTCTCATAGGGACTCCCCATGCAGGGACGTGGGGACTCAGGGCTGCAGACTGGGCTGAGCTTGAGGCAGGCCCTCGGGTCCATGCAGACTGTGGGACTCAGCCCTGAGACCTGGGACCTGGCTCCGCCTGGGGTCTGGCCTGTAGGGAATGGACTCCAACAGGGGTTATTTTTGCAGCAGTTTTCACACTATGTGCACTCTTAAGATTATTGAGTATCTCAAGGAGGTTTTATTCTTGTGGGTAATATCTATGGATATTTCTTGTATTAAAAATAAAATCCAGAAAAATTTAAACACACTGTCCACATGCAGATATTGCACTAACTGGAAGAGTGATGATGTCACTCATGTCACATACCCTCTGGAAAATTATAGTGAGGGCTCCTTTTTTAAAAAGTGAATTAAAAAGACAAAGAAGATCTTATTATAGTTGTTAAAGTTTTGACCTCACTGATCCTACTGAATGCACTTCAGGGACCCAAGGTTCTCACACACCTTGACAGCCACTAGTCTAGGAGTCAGGGGCAGCCCGACCCCCGTGTCTCCCAACATGAGCAGCACAGCAGCACAAGCTTCAGGT